CCTCTTCTGGTGGGTGATAGCAGAACGTGATAGTACTGATGTCTTGTTAGCAGCGACACATGTTCCCTTTCATACAAAAGCAGCTTTCTAACCACTTAATGGGATTGCTGTTGTTGTTGGTTTTTTTCCTCCCTTCCCCTGCTCTGCACAACAAACACTTCCTAGAAGTGGTTCAACATGTGCCCAAGGAATTTGCCTTAGCGTTTCATAACAAATCAGCCCAGGTCAGGGGCTAAGATTGGCCCCCAGTGGTAAACTATTGAAAACAGCTCCTCGACAAGACGAGTGAGGGAAGAGGATTTTCCACTTTAAAAGGAGAATCATCTCTGCTCAAGGCATTAGCCTGTGTTCAAAGAGATTAATTTTTATGTGAGATGAAATTGATACAGTCATGCGCTGTTCCTGGATCAGTGCTGGCTTTGTTCACTGACAGTGACCGGGCAACGAAGAATTTAAATTTACATTTAAATTTGTCAAACGCACACAAACACGTAAATACTGACATTTTGTTGAGATGATGAACGGAGTAACAAAATATGACGCATAATCTAATTAGAGATTAGTCCAATGTCTACCAGACTACATAACAATATATTCTAGTCAAACAGCTCCAGAGAATGTAGACAGCAAAATAAACACTGCACAGACTTCACCTCCACGAAGCACCACTGGTATCATCACTTCAACCTTTTATATACGACCACCTATAGTAGCCTTCACTGGACAGTACCCAGAAATAGCAGAAGTAGCACATGCTAACATTATGATCTGCTATAAATAATTATCAAGAACATAGAAGTCAGTTATCAGCTGACTTAATAATTTATTAAAACCTACAAAGTGTTAAACAACAACATGCTCAAGTTTAACTTTTTCTTCAAACACTAATTTTGCTTTTTACACATTTTTTTGTTGTTGACAAAGCAGTGCCTTTAACAGCAGCTCCATCCCAGTGCAGTGATGCCCAAACAGAGCAAACTCTTTAGGTAAATTACATTTTTATTCTCATTTCCTTGAGGAGAAGCCAATCATTTCCTATGATTGAAAATGATATAAGGTAAAATTCTGAACAAAAAAAAGTCATTATCATTTTTTGTGCCTTTTGTACATTTGCAATTAAGTCTTAGTGGAATCTGAATTAGCATTTCAGCAACGACAGGGAATCACAGAGGCTAATGCTGCAGATTGTAGAACATCAAAGTAGCAGAGAGGAGAACAACGACTCAGACGAGTTTACAGATGCTAAGGAGAGCCGAACATCAGTGACGGCTTTAAGAAAACACCGCCCGTCTCTTGTTCTAACAGAAGAACAATAGCGTGTCTCCCAGCGTTGGCGAGGCACAACACAAAGGCTCCGCAACACTCCCCACGCTGTTCACCCAACTTCAAGTTTACGAGCGCTCACAGCAGTTTACAGCCGACAAATTTCATTTTCTACTCCCAAATCCTATCGCACATTATCCTGTACATTGCATTAGGACTCTAATCTTCCTTTTCTCTTCCTAAGCAGAAGAAAAGAGCGCCTTCATGATTAACCCACTTTACAGCAATAAATAAACGCATCATCCAGTAATGTACACCAGATTTAATTTGAAGCTGGAGAAAAAAAAAGGACCAGAGCACTGAAATGGGAAAAAAAAAAAAAAAACACAATGCAGACACAAACGATTGCCTTAGGAATTAATTTGAATCTTCCATAATTTTCTCTCTCACTCACTCTATCTCATGCTTGCTGCATCATTTTTGAACTCAAGTCAACAGGACGACGTTGTCCCCTCAGACCTCGCTGGTGTAAAGACTTCAAAACACAAAGAGAATATAAAAGAAAACATGATTAATCCACATAAAACCAGCGTTGTATTAAAGGGAAAAGAAAAAAAAATGAAATCTTTGAGTCAACACTTTTTCAGCCACATCTTTCACATGAAGCCCATGTTGCTTTTGCTTTCCCATCGTTTCTTAGCCTCGAACCTGCAGCACAGAGAAAAATATCAACTCATGTTATACAGCAATAATACAGTAATAGGTTGAATAATATAATATTACACTGTGCAAAAGTTTTAGACACATATACATTTATGTGTATATATACATATTTGTGTATATATAAATATGATATATATAGTGTTGAAGATTTTTTTAAATTAAAAATTTAGAAATTCCTTCACCTCACCTTTCTAAGACAGCGCAGCGGCATCATAGCAGGTTTCACTACTGTCCTCAAACATTCCCCTCACTACCATTCTTCTGTCACAAATTACCCATTTTCATTTTCTGTTGTTTCATTTTCTGCCTTTTGTGAACTGTCCAGTCCTTGGGTGTTCGACCTTTCAAACTCACTCAAACTCATCAACCTTTACTACCTCTGGTCTGTGCAGTTCTATCTTTCCACTTGGATCACTCATTTAAGGTTCAGTGTCGATGAGAGAACCTTCTGGTCTTATATGTAAGGCGTTTATTCTAAATGTACACACCTGCCTAGAACTTTTGCAAAAACCCATATCTAAGTGCATACAAAGACAATCAAATATGGTTTTTTTAATCAAATCTTAACCATAGATAAGACGGTGTCACAGATACAATGGACGGCGTAAACACCCAGAGATAGAAAATGTTCGTACCCCCAGGCTATTTTCTTCCTTTTCTGTGCCGTCCTCTCAGCTTCCTCTTCCTGTTTATGTTGCACAAAGTCACGACAATCAGCAGCTCGAGCAATTTTCACAGCCAGCTGTAAAGACACAGTCACAGACAGAGTAGAGGCCAATTAGGGAATGGAAATCAGTCTTTAAGTGAGCAGCAGTCTTTGGACTGATGTGTCAGGTCGGCTGCTCCGCTGACTCCTCCACAACACAGCAAAGACATGAGCTCACGCCACATCACTGCTTTGAAAACATTCACATATGAATAACTTCCGGGTTGTAAAAAAGAATATATGACTATAACAAAAGTTAACTAGTTATATGAAGTTTGTAGGAGAAATATATTTTTATATGCAGAATCATTTACAGCACATATACATGGGTGCTATATATATGCATATACATACTGTAAGTGATATATATATAGAAACATACATATACGAAGAAGAAGATATAGCGTATACATATAGTTGAGTCGTTTTGTCATTATTGTTAATTATGATGGTATTTGTTTTTCGTGGTTAATAGCATTGATGTAAATAAATTTAATAATAAAGGATTTTCATTTTGTCATACATTGTTAATTCTCTTTAGCTAATTTATTGTGATTGTTTTTGTTTAAGGCAGTACACAGTACAATAAGTCATGTTTTTATGCTTCTACCTTTGTCTCATTGTCATAGTATTATTTTCTTTTCCTGGTTTAATGCGCAAATAAAAGAGCCGAATAAATAAATAGTGAGAAACAATGTTCAGCATTTTGCTCCAAAACGTTGCAGAGGCATTTGTCCTCGTCGTCATCAGTGTAAAAGTGTTTGGGAGTGCTACAGGCAGTCCTTGAAATCAGAAGAGAAGAGAATGACCGTGACTGCAAGAGGCAAACATTCAAATCCCAGGAAAGACGTGCATGTGTGTGTGTGTGTGTGTGTGTGTGTGTGTGTGTGCATTGTGAAGCAGAATAATCCCAATAACCCCAGTCACACAGAAGCACAGGAAACAAAGGGAAAAATCCTGCCCCTTCTCACTCCTGAGATAGCTTTATTATTCAAGCAAAGGCAAACTTTGATAAACAACTTGGAACAATTTCACCAAACCTTTGGGTAATTCGCTCTAATATTCAGAGTACAAACAGAGAGGAGAGGGAGTCTTAAAGGTAATGAGGAAATGTGCCACCACTGTGCCACTTGAAAAAAAGACCTGCTGGAAAAAATGTTTCAATTATAATTAAGTGGGATAAACTTTATTAGAAAGACTGAAACTAAAATATCTCCTAATGCATGCTGGGATTAAGCAGGTCAGAGCAGGCAGGCAGGAAAAATTAAACTCTAAAGGCTTTTTATCACCATATTTCAGGAACCAAGGGTGTAAAATGTTCTAATTTGGGATACATTAAAAGCCATAAAGGTCTTTCAGAAAGATTAATGGTACTTTGCTCGGATTTAAGATAAGGGCTGCGGCTGGCTGTGACTACTGGGCTGAGGCAGGGCCCTGGAGGCATTCATCTATACAGTCACTGGAAGATTTGTGAAAGGGTCTGCATAACCCGCAGCATACATACTACGACAGTCTTCCACTTGTCTGCAACGTTAGAGGTTGGAAATTCTTCAAATCACGTCTTCTCCTCTTTAGGAGAGTTTGTCTCTTTCTACATTGGTTGCGAATTTTCAAACAGCTAAAACTCCAATAGCATGAACTGAAGGATAATATACCAGAGGTTCCATTCAAAGATTCTAAGAAAAAAATCCTACACTACAGCATTTATAATATTTGAAATTTATTTAGTTTTACATCTGCGATATTTAGCTATATTTAGAATTACAAATATTTCATTTACCATTTGAATACATCTAACAGATAACATACACAAAACTAGTCTGTCTAGAGTTTCAACGTGGATTATTTATTAAAATTATAATTAATTTGTATTAAATCAAAAATATAGCAAGTAGCTTTAATGCAAAAGTAGACAGGAAGTATTTCAATCAATTCTGACCAAGTGTACACGGCGGCTATCAGTTGGAAAGTCAATGACAAAAAGGGCTAAATGTTAGCAAAAGCTAACTACAAGTTAGCTCAAAATGAAAATTTTAAAACATTACAAATACAAATGTTGCGGTTAAACTAGCCTTTACTAAATGTGTCAAAGAATGCCCTAAAATCTCATACAAAATACCTCAAAGCTTGTAGTGAAATGTGTAATTTGCCACACGATACAGTTCATTTTCAAAGCAAAGTCGCAGTTGTTGAAAAATCTGGAAAGTGAAACAAATTTCAATAATAATAATTTAATGATAATAATTTAAATATGTGTCTTACCGTTTTTAATGATTCTACTAAACAACCCTGGACGGGGCTGAACATTAATGTCAAGCAAAGTTACCAAGGAGACAGAGCAGATCAAAGAGACAAAAAAGCTACAAATGTTCTGATTAATCAAGCCTGCAAACAGCTTATTTCCTTTAGCCTGCATGCAAGTATGAAAATGAGATTCCGAGAGCAGTACATTGTGCAGATTTGTTCATTCTTATCTGAACAAAGCCAGCGGCAGCTTATTTCATGGATCACTGCCACTGTCAGCGCTGTGGCGCTGAGCAGGTGACGGCTCCTCTTTCTGTGGCGAGAACAAAATTAGCAAAAAGTCGATACAAATTAGCCTCTCATATTTTCAGTAATGTGACATTATTTTTCATTTACTTTTTTGATCCATTTTTCTGGATTTTCCCCCCTTCCTGCCTCCCTCTTGTGTGCATCACGCTGCCAAATCCTTTCACATCACAGACCGGTGGAAAAATAAGTAGCAAACTACAAACTGGAATAAAAACAGGGAAACCTCCCGCCTTCCTCGTTCTCTCCTGCTCCATCACATACGTACTGAATATAAACAGGACACATAGTTGTAAACATGCTGCAGGACGGGGACTATGACATGCTGTCAACATTTGTCTAAAGCTGTAGTGAACAAAATTTCCTGACAGAATAACCCATAGAATCATTTAAAAAGACATTTCAGTCACAGAAATGATTTGATTCATGGATTTTTTTCAACTTCTCTCTCTCTTATTTATTTATTTTTTTGTTGTTGTAAGTTATTGAGATATCCTTTCACAGCCATATTCACTAGTATAACGTACACCCAGTAGGTGGCAGTAATGCAAATGACAGAATTCAAAACTGCCGGTGAGGCTGAGGGTGTTACCAGAATTAGCTGAGCCTAATCCTGGTAAGAATGACTCTTAAAATAAAACAGCACATTTACTGTATACTAGCATGATGCTAACAGACTAAGTTACATTGACATGTTAGGGAATTGCTCACATGCTGCTAATACGTTACTACTACAGCACCACCTAAAAACATTTGTTATGTGCTAGTGCAGCCCAAATACTGCTAACCTGCTAGATTAGGCATGGGCAAACTATGGTGTGGGGGCCGGATGTGGCCCATTTGGCTTTTTTATCCAAATATGGGCAAATTATGTTATTCATTTATATTATCATTATACGTCTGCCTTTTCACTGCAATGCCTGCATTTCTCCAACATATGGCGTAGAAAAGACTGAAAGCATTTTAGCATTTTAGCCTTTATGCATGACTTTTACATGTCATTTATTTTAACGCTTCATCCATCTGCTCCAGACTTAACCCCCCCCTCCCCCCTTTTAAAATTTTAGGACTCATTGTGGACTGCTCTGACCCAAAAGTTTACCCACGCCTTTGCTAGTTGTACCTTGGATGGTGTGTTTTTTTTAATTCAATGAACAATTAGATAAAAAATTTGTCAAAACATTAGAATATAATGCAACGGTAATCTCAAAAGGATTCCTTAAATGCAGGGTAACGACAATAAAGCAGTAATTATTTTATATGTTATTTTCCAGAATGAACTAATAATACAAGCCACTTGTCTTTGTCAGCCTCTCTGCAGTGCGCTCTGTGCAGAGCTGTGTTAAAAACTGAGTTTATTCACAGGATTAATGCTCTGACCTTTGGAAGATTGTAAGACAGAAAAACATTCATGGTGCACAATGTTGGCACTGCAGCAGCAGCAGCAGCAGCAGCAGCAGCAGCAGCAGCTTAAGGCCACGACGAGGGTTAAGTCAACAGCACAGTTTTCTGTTCATTCATGTTTGGGTCGTCATGGAGATTCAAAAAGACGGCCCACGAATGGGAGCCCGGTACAAAACCAGCTTTGCCGCTGCTATAGAGCAGGACATCGACGAGATAATTCCAACGTGTCTCAGTCAGAGCTTTAAAACAATATTGTTGTTGTCTTTGTGTGTGTGTGTGTGTGTGTGTGTGTGTCATTCTGGAGATTTATTTAGAAGTTTAGACTGTGGCAATTACAAAGCAGGCAGACAAAGACAGTAGCTGACTGAAGGAAATGATTTTCTTTGTGGATAAATTGTTAATGCTCCTATTAACACTAGGAAATAAATGATGGCTTCAAGGAAGAAATAGCCTTAAAGCTATTCATAAATTTCCAATCCATGAAGCCTCTTCCAATTAAAATGTGTGAGAGGTGGATTAACAAGGGCTATATGGCTGTGCCTCGCTAAATCACCTCCCCAAGCTGCTCTGCTGCATTTGACGTGTAAACGATTAATAACCGGCCTAATTCTCTTATCACGCCACCTTAATGCCTAAATAATGTGGCCTTAGTGAACTCTGGAAAGAAGGGCTCTATAAGAAAGGAATAGATATCAGATTAACCCACTCGCGTTTTATTTCTGCGTACTTTCTGACAAGTGAGGCGGGGCGTTGGGGGGGGGGAGGAGTGATTTCAGGAACAGCCGACGCAGGGAGAGGCCAGTAGGTTAAAAGGTCAGTCTATAATAAGCCTATCACATTAGAGAGAAGATAGAGAAGACTTTTTTTTTAAATTCTGGCTATTTTGGAGTGAGTTGAAGTAATTACAAATTATCTCAGCAAAACCAGGGGTCGGGGTCTTTTTCTATTCGTGTAAAATGTTCTACTACTCTACTTCCTGATACTGATACTATCTAGTTTAAATATGTAGTGCTGTACTTCCCCTTTTCTGTAAGCCACTTTATAAAAACACGGTGTGTCAAGGTGACAGCTGTTAGGTCCTTGGATTAAACCACGTGGACACTGTACTATGGAATACAAATGTTTATTATCTTAAGTTGATACACCCCCCTGTCCCATCCCAGTTTTCTTTCATCTTGACCACAGACATAGAGATGCATAGCTGCCTCCTACTGGACTTTTTTTCTTACCAAAAAATGTATCCGTTCTGGTTCTTATTGGTATTATTTTCAATTTCATATATTTAACTGTTGTTATATTTTATTAACATGCTGAAAAGATCTACAGATAACAAAAAAAAACAGTGTCTTGGATGTCAGGATAAGCAATTGTTATACACTAAATAAATGTAATGCAGTGAAAAATAGTTGATTTGAATGGGGGTGGGGGGGTAAATACAATATTATATGCTCGCACCTCAACACAGGTTGACAAACAATATTACATCACCAACTCAGAAAGTCTCTCCAGGGAATGTCTGCTGGAATCTTTTAGTAACCGGACGCAGGACACGCCGTGTTTGGGGGTAGAAAGTTCACTGGCTTTGTGTGTCGTCTGTTATCTCTCCTCTTGTGAGAAGGTCTATTAAAGCGCTTTGAACTGACACTCACAATACATAACATGCCATCAACCGTTTTGTAAGCTAATTAGGGAGGGGGCTAAAAACAGTTTAATTAATGACTGACTGGTTATAAAAATGGCAGTTATGAAAAAAAAGAGAGTGATGCGGCTAAGCCTCCACTACCACCAATTAAGGCCTAATTACAAACAAATTATATATGTGTTTGGCTGTGGGCATTAATTAAAAAAAATGGCTTCAATTAAAAGGGAAAACACGCTAATTAATTAAACATCACACAAATCTACATTCAGAACTATGCTTTGTCTATCAAGTAATTAATGAACTACAATAATCCAAATGAGATTCCCAGGCATTTGATAAAAGCTTAGTATCCGTTTCAAAATCCAACATAAAAGTAAGGAGCAGAAATTTAATGTGAGTCACGCCGAGATACAATAAAAGTTCAATCAACGATAAATTGCTAACGCAGAGGGGAAAATGAACAAAGCAAAGAGTTTCCCCTAAACTCAATGAATTAGCCCGGGGTAAATACTGAACCAGGAGAGAGAGAGAGAGAGAGAGAGAGAGAGAGAGAGAGAGAGAGAGAGAGAGAGACTTCTCCTGTGATGGGTGGAGAAAGTCAGAATCTGATATTGTCAGATTTTCACCAGAGCCCTGCTCCTGAAATTCTTTGATTACAAACATAGGGCACAGAAGGGATGCTGCTGAGAGGGAAAAGGGTGTAGAATAACATAAATATCATGAAACAGTCTTAGTTCAGCTCTTTGTCTGAACTAAGCCACCATGTCTCCTCCAACAAAGTGCTGCACCACCTTTGTTTCACAGCATTTAAGCCCAGCTTTCCAAAGGGTAGATTTCAAGGACAGCGGGTTTTTTTTTAATTCTCTCTCTCAAGCAGCTGCTCCTATTGAAATATATATACAATGAGTGATACTGGAAAAGACCACATGTTTAAGTGACTACAGTATGTCATGGGTTGAACACACTGAAAATTCATGTGGTTAATTATTACATATAAAGTGACCAGCTAAAAGGATTTGGTCAAACATGGTAAAAATAAGTTCAACACACAAAGACACAAATATGGGTGAGTCCATGTGATTCAGCAGAATAGTAGATTAAATATCTTTTTTTTTTATCTTGGCTTTTTGAAAGTATAAGGAAAACCTTTGTCACACGTACGTTGCCAAAGACTGCACGTTTATTAGCTAAGAGCTCATTTTAAAACAATGTGATGAAAGAAATGACATGGCAACACATAGCACCACATTTCCAGGCTAGTTTATCAAAACGCCATGTTAACAGTATTGTTTAAAAATCGAATAAATCTCTACACTGCAAAAAAAGAAAAAAAGATTTTTAAGAAAGTAGAACAACCTTGTATAAAGAAAGTCTTTTACACAGGAGCCAAAACTATTGATTTTAGTCTGGTCATAACTATATCTCAGCATTGGTCATATTCTGGTCAGCACTAACATGAGTATCATTTCATAAAATGAATATCAGTTATCACACATTATTGGACACTAGGACTAGATACTTCAAGATCAGTTATTGGTATCAAACCGTGTAATAAAGAATCAATTAAAACTTTATTTGCAAATTAAATTGTACATTAGCGGTCACATTAGTTTGACATGGGTTCAGGTGTTTGGAATTTGTTTAAGAATCTTAAATTAATCAATTATTACGTTTTTGACCAAGTCAAGACAAGAATCAGATCAGACCCATTTTACCAAGGTTCAGAATGAGCAACAGTCATTTCTTGTGATGGAAAAACCCTACAACTACCTTTAAAAAGGAGAACACTGGAGGACTCGGTCTGATCAGTGTATGAAAAATAACATTGTGTTCCCTACAACGTAAGTGTTTTCTTTTAATAAATGAAAGGCGTGTTCACAGACAAGATTAAACGTCGGCTGTCTTCATGTATTCATCTACAACAAAGGTTTAAAGCCTTGGGAGTCATTACCAAAGTCTAATAAGTTTTTTTTAACCTGTAAAATCAAAGCGTCAAGTTTGACAGATGAAAGCGCTCACATCTTTAAAAAATGTTGATGTGTTCTTCAAGAGAACAGTGTTTAAGAAATTGTTTTCATGTGGAGATTAACGAAAAGAAAGTGGAACAAATTAAAATCATTAATTGATATAATGCAACTCCAAAGAGCAGCAACAAACATTTGTGTTGTATAAGGAGGACGGTGACTGCGGGCAGCCTATCTTCCCTCTGTTTTCCTTCGCTTCAAGGAGATAAGTGGAAAAGCTTCAGATTGAGAATGAGAATATCTTTAAACGCCGTCATCCGACATATGCTGGCATTTTCTTAACAAAACAAAGCCCAGAGGGACAAACAAGCCTCTTTAGTTTTTCACAGCTGTCAAAATGCGTTTTGCGTTTTCTTTTTGCAGAAGAAACCTGTTTCTATTCTTTCAGTGAAAAGCCTGGCGCAGTCATGTCTCAGTGTCGTGACCATAAACAAATTAAACACCTGAGTCGTTCTGTGTGAAATGAGCCGCTCACTTATAACCCTGAAATTGATTCTGGCTACAGCTGAGATTATTGGTCCTGTCAAAACATTGTGACCTGACATGCTCTGAGGTACAAATGTATTACAGTAGTGAGGACATTTAACCCATCTGTCTGAAGCAGAAGATTCAATAAAACTTCACCAGCTCTCTATTTAAATTCCCCGTGTTTTTCAGAGGTGTTTTCTAAAGTCACTTCGGTTCCATTGTGAAATAAAGTTATCACTGCTAAACAATGAGTCGCGGCTGCCAGAAAGCTGTCACATCCCATCACTGCTCTGGCAACACTCTAGGCTGGAGCCAGAGGGGGAGAACCTGGGCCCAGGCTAAAAACAAATCCAGCAGCGCTCTAAGAGGCTTTCTCAGGTGCCACTCACACGAGTTTTCATTTAACTCCTCCATATCTGACCACGCTGCTCACAAAGAGGCTGTAAAGCTGCATAGTCAAGTCTATTACACAGGTAGTTAGCAAAAACCAATGGAAACCAATGACAAGTCAAATGCTAATGCTAAAACATGAGTTATTCCATGTAGATAGAGTAGTATAATTAACAGATACGTTAATTATATAACTGACTGGACTTAAACCTGAAGCAGCCTTTTGCTTCATATTTATCATTATAAACGTATCTTCACTTATTTACTGCATATATACATAAACTAATTATTATGATATACATATATATGAAGAGGTATATATTGGGTCATAATAATGGGTCAGAATGTGTGTGTAAATATACTACAATCAAGAACACAGCCTTTTCAGACCGACCTTGGTGAGCGAAATCTTTTGTCCCACAATGGTTATCCCTCGGGTATTTTAGGGTTATAAAAGAAATCTCAAAATTCTGCAAAACTCAGAAATGTATCTGTAAATATTGACACTGTGGTTTAACCTGTTTTGTATACACATTGAGGTAAATAAATAAATGTAAAGCTAACATAATAGCAAGTAAGGAACACATTGTCTATCACTGATATATTGATATTCACTTTGGATGAGTCGTGGTATAAACTGTAACAAAGTGTGTGACAGGTTTTTTTTTTTACTGCTATTATTGATTTAAAAAGTTTATGTAATGCCAAATACGTCATGAAACAAAGAAGTCTAACTTCGACACTCAATGGACAGTAATTCTCCCAGTAGAGAAGTATCGGCACTTGTACGTCTTTTTACACAATTATATGTGTGTGGGCTACATTTTATGCTAAATTAGCTTCAAACCAGTGCCAAGGTGGTTAGTTACAAAACTTCAGGCACTGCATTTAAGGACATGTACACTTCAAAGGTATGAAACTCTTACCTGGAGAATGATTTAACAGTTGGCTTGAAAGCAATGTAGCCTTCATTAAAAAGCAGAGCCAAAAGTCCTTTAGACACTGCAGCACTTCAAAACTAAGGGGAGGGCTTTCCATTAACTCAATGGTAAAAGGCTGCAGGACTGAATGGTGGGTGTCTGCGTGTGTGTTTTTTGTTCTTCCATGTCTTTGCAGCAGAAATGGCTATGGATCCATTAGTCTGATTTGTCACAGCGGGAGAGGCCCAAAGATCTCCTATCAGTACCACGTACCTCTCGAGTGGCGAGTCTGTCGCTCATCTCCTCTGCTTTTGCAATGTCCCCTTCAGCGATGGCCCTCTCTATGCTCTTTTCTAGGCCGGACTGCAGAAGAGGGGGAGAGAAAAAAAAATCAGACTTCTTTTTAAATGGGGTAGAGAGGGAGAGGGAGGGAGAAAAAAAAATCAAAGAGTAACTTCAAAAGTCCCCAGGGCCTTATTTTTAATGTGATTGCCATTACTACAAATATGTAGATTTTCCTTCACAAATGAAAACCTTTTTGATTGGGTATTAGTGGGCACATCTTAGAAATGCTACAGGAGATTACCAAACATAAATGTGACTCTTTAATTACACATTTCCATTACAGGCCTAAGCAGATGGGTGTGAGGAGAAGCCCCCGGTTACTGACGGCAAGGCAGTTCTGAGCCTGGAAATCAGTAACCAGGGGGAAGTGAAGCTCCAGAGGAAGCAACACACCAGATTTCCTTAGCCCCCCAAAAACTTCATCATACTAAAAAAAAAAAACACTGGTAAGAGGCTGTAATTATTCATGCGTCTTGTTTGAAGACCTTAACTTGACAGCAAACGTGCAAGCACAAAACCACCAGGCCTTAAAAGTAATTTAGAAAAAACAAATGTTTCGATCTAACTGAATATAATTTATCTTTATCCTCAGAATTAGAATAATAAGTACCATTATCACTTATTGTATCTCATTAACAAAATCTCAAAATGACAGGTCATCATCCTTTAAATCACCAAACGTCTGTTCGCGTCAGTAAAGAAACACTGTTAGCACATCAGTTAATTACATCTGTCTGCTGTAATGCGTTTTCCTCAAATGGCTATGTAGGGCACAGAAATAATGTCATATTAATTACAAGAAGCTGCATTTGAGGGATGAAGGAGGCCATCATTATACTGATGTGACAAGTTCTCTTATACGCTGCGTGTTAATCGTCTCTTTTATCCTTTCAGAGTTTCTTTTCCAGCAAAAAGAAGCTAAAAGAAATAAGTGAAAACTCAATTTTATGCTGCTTTTAGATAAATGAACCCCAAAATACTACAAAATAATCAATATTAGAGGATTTTCATTTGAAAAGAGGAGACTCGTCATCTGCTGGGTCAGCTATTATGTTCATCAAAAATTATTTGGCTTCACTTATTGTACAATTTATAGGGTTGTCCATAACAGAGTATTGAGAGTGTTTTTTGGTTTGTTTTTAAATGATAATTACTACATTATTTAAACACACCTACTATTGCAATCACTTTGCATGTAACTACCGTCGTGGAGCCATTATGTTAAATTCATTCATCATTTTATGCAGACAAAAGACCAAAATCTCACTTTAATCTCAAACCTACAAGAAGGCAGAATCATCCTAATCTTATCAGAAATTGTAGCCAAAACCTAATCCCTATTATTCTTCTGACTGTCAGAGTGAGCTACCACGAGGATCCCCCTAATCCATATGTCGTGTCACATACAACAACAAGAGCAAACAGTGAGACACAAAGACACAGGCATATACAGTAGTTGTTATGATCGGCAGCCAAGGACACGGTGCTAAAGCTCTGCAGATAAACTGGTAGGCAGGGGTCTTTGTTACCTTTGGAGGGGGTACGGAACATGCAGGGGGATCAAATCGATCATTCACACCAAAATACTGCTGCAGCCCATTCCAGTGCTTCTCCCGTTCCTCCTGACCCACACTGTTGACAAAATGAATGTGTGTTAATGCTCAGCATTTGCACAGAAGCAGTGTGAAAAGACAAGCTTCATTTTTTTTTTTATTGGTAAGTCTATATTTTGCATATTTGTAAATCACTTTTTTGTTATGTAAAAATGCTTAAACATTTTATATAATATACTGAAAGCTAAAATATGATCTCATAAATTTTTGATTCATTTATAAAGCACTTTTTATACAAGGAATGTAGCACAACGTGCTGTACAGATACAGATATGAGAGATATTTAGTCACAACTTGTATGTTTACTGCTACATTATTTGTTACCAGTATACCTTAAACATTATTTTTTTTCAGCTACCTAATCTTACAAATCAATACATTGTCATAATTTGGTACCTTGTCTCTGTAGACCCCCCGCATTTGGCTGCAGCTAGATTATGAAAGGAAGAAAATGAAAGTTTTAGTTTAAAATGAATTAACATCAACTAAAATGCATCAATCTATAATGATGTGCTTATGATTAAGTCTAAAGCCTCCCTTAAAGTTTCATTTAAGCTCAAGACACACTACACTGACCACATGTCCTTAGATTCATCACAACAATGTCATGAGAAACCCAAATGGTGTCACAGGTTCAAATTCATTGATGAAGAGACACTAATACAATCTTGCCCAGTTTTTGCTTAGTAAGAGACACATGTAGTCCGTATATGACAGGTGTGGGAGAAATACTATGTGTAATTGGATGTATTTGCATGTTTTTGTATTTAATTTAATCAATGTAGCCGATAATTAAGTCGTTTTACCTTAAAATTTAGTTTACAGCTGTTGTATGAGTGGAAGATCAGCCATGAAAAAGACCAGAAGGGCTTGGATGGTTACACAAGGAACCCAACTTTTATTTAGTTTATTGGAAAATTAGGCTGCTTTTGACTAAAAAAAAATTACATTAGTTTATTATAAATGTTTTTCTGAAGTCTTATGGTATAGATTATGTAATCTGTCTTTTAAAAAAACACAATAACAACAATAATACTGTCAATGACATGACCAACAATCTGTCTATATATAATTGTAAGAAATTAAATAATAGATTTTATATCAGAGACCGTGATTGTGTCGTTTTCTTTTTCTCTTTCTGTGAACTTTAACTGCCTCCCAGTCATCCTTCTTTTTTCGTAGGTCCTGGAATTTCTTTAAAACAGAGAGAACTCGTTAGGGTATAACAACGTCTGATGCAAGTTAACAGCACTACGAAATTATACTGTATTTATGCAAAAACAAACACTAATAAATAAATGATTTAAAACAATGAACCATGTGTCAGCTGCGACTATAATAACACTGCATACCTGCCAGTTTTGTTGGGATATACCCGGTAAGTTGCATGTCGGGGAATCACTGAGAGCATTACTGACAGTTTGTGCAGAGCTCTCACACTTTTCCTCCGTGTCTTTTTTTACAGCAGCCTCCTGCATGTCCTCGTCGTCACTTAGACTCAGGTCTTCCTCGGTAAATCCCTTCGGCAGAAGTCCACTGTACTTTCCGAGTCTAAAGTGTGAAGTCATTTATGCAATACAACAATTATCTTAGGTAAAAATCTCCTCTAACGTTACATGTATTGCTGTCGCTTGTGATGGCCATTACTTCCGGATACAAACGGTGACGTTTACTGCACGAATACATAGATTGGTTTAGAACGAAGCGCCGAGCAAAAGTGTCCAATCATACTCAAGCTTACAAATGAGTGTGGCTCCGAAAGAACAAACGCTTTCATTGGCTTATTAACGGAAGTTATAACGTGTGTTTTTCTCTTCTATTGCTTGTTTTGAGAATATTGTTGCACACTCTGTTGGTTTAGTAACTTTATAAGTTATAAGTCAATTTTAAACAGAAGTAAATGTAGACGTTTAATCATTCTTTGTATAAAAGTTGAGACAGCTGCTGGGGAGCATTTCTAATTGAGGTGAGTCAGGCAACTGACAGGTCCCTGAATTAACAGCAATCATTCAAATGTTCACCTATATTTGTGGTGAGATAAGCGTCCTTCTATGACCGGTGATTCGCAATTTGCTCAAAGTGCTCCTGGCATTGCATTATTATCAGAATGATTAGCATGCAAATCTGTTGTAGCCCCTGGCACTGGCACAGGAACATCTACCCTTAAATTGCTCTTTCACACTTATTCACATTAGGCTTTCATTCGGCTGCTTCTTATTGCAAAGCCAACAATCTGCATAAATTATGGCCATGGATTTATTTTGCCATGTGTAGACTGAGACATGTCAGTTTAGACTTTAAAAAGAGGTAAATGTCTGCCCTGTGCATTCACAAAATACAGTGTTTTAGATAAATTGTTGTAAAAACTGAGAACGCTATGCTTTAGCTACAGGTATGCCTAGTTCTGTTATTTACAGAAATAAACAGTGAGATAAGAGTAAGAGAGGTGATTAAAAACTAAATATTTCAGATTTGAAGATTTTTCTTTCTTTTATTAGTACAGGACATCATCAAGTGACACTTGTTGTTCCTGAATTTACCAAAAAAAAATCTAAAAAAAAAAGAAAAGAAACAATCACAGAGTAAACGATCAAATTTAGACTAAGTGTGCGGACACAAATGAAGACCTGAAGACCTTGCTCTCCCCCTGACCTTGCTCTCAGCCTCCAGCCACGTACTTACTGAGCCCAGCTTTAAATGCAGTGCATATTAAACTGTGCTGATACGGCTTATTCTGGTATATTAAATGTCATCTGCAACATGTAAAATCTCTATCTCATCCTCTAAAATATACTGCTATTAACTGGTGTCACTCACTCAGCATTATCCTGACTTTAATTACATGTGTGACAAGTTGAGCATGAGGACGGCGTCTGAAGGTAAATGACTGTCACAAAGTCTTGCTAATACTAAACAATTTTGGCATTACAGGTCTGAGTCATTTCCTTATTGATTACTAGACCTTATGTTCTATTTCACACTTGAATTAATGTCTTCCAGCTTTCCCATCATCCATCCCTCTCTCTCTCTCTCTCGCGCGCGCGCTCTCCCTCTCTTGCTCTTTCTCCCTGGCATGCACTCCAGTTCATTATTTCTGTCATTTCTTGGTAATTTGGAGTTGGCTGGTTAAAACTTAGCCTCTTATTAAGTTTTGGCCATGGTGGATAAGAGGCAGCACTGTAAGAGCACAGAGATAAACTAATCATCTTAAAGCCCTAATTATAAGTATCTTGCTGTGACAGACTGTTTTTCGTGAGCAGGCCAAATTGAGCTTCAAATGAGGAAAGGCATATCTGTGCAAGTGGTAATAATTTTAAGTCATCTCCATCTGGCTTGGTGTGGCAGAATTCATTAGTACAGATTAGCGCTGTGTGTACAAAGTAAATGAGATATCTAATAGCAAACGCGGAGGTCCGGGGACACTTAATTTCCTCCCCAACATGAGGGATGATGTTAGGGGTGATTTTATATGTGAATATAAATGTATATATATATTTTAATATTTTTGACATTGACAGTCAGTGTTTTACCAAACAAATACATTAAAAGTGCCACTAAACTGTTGACCTTCCTCCACATCTTAGCAAATTTAAAAATGAACATTCCAGATTGCATCACTCTGATACAGAAGACCTTTTTCTTTTCTTTTGTTTTTTGAAGGGTCTGAAAAAAGTTAATTATGTGTGTAAGAAGAAGGTTGAGGAGAAAAATAATAAGATTACAAAGAATAATTTGCTGATATAATTACACCAAAATTGGGTACACACAATCGTAAAATACATGTATTGCTTGACCTGGGTTAGCCAGTGAAATAAATCCTCATTCTATAGCCTTTGTTAATTTGTTTTTATCACCTCCAAGTGGTGTTTGTGCAGGCAGTTCAATTTGCATGTGTAATTCCACTGTGCAAATTGACAACAAGTAGATAATTCGAGGAAATAGGCTGGTTGCAGGCCCCTGCTATCTTCCCAAGCCTATTCATTTTGAGGAACCAGTGAGGCATGAAACTCATACATCAACTATTTCCTGACAACGCTTAGGCTTATTGTTCCCTAAAATGTCATTACAGCCATTATTTATGAAGCTAATTCATTTATTAAACTGTATTTACTCAGACTGAATTTGTCACAGTTTATCCATATCCCCGACGCTGCTTTTGAACAATGTATTACAATGAGTATGTCTGATCACGAACAGCCTGGAACAGAAGTTTGAAACAAACCATTTGTCTGTAACAATAGTTGGATTGCTGCAAAGAAAGTCTAGAGTTCTACGTTTGATTAACTTTCTACGTAGAAAGGTTATGTGTCAACACCAGCGGCCTCTAAAGTTTTATTCAAGGTGGGTGACAATAAGTGTATAAGGAAAATACACACATATTTTAGCAATTTTAGCAATAATTTAGCAAGCATAAGCTTTATTCTATCAATCTTGCTTTAGATAGATAACCTATAATGGTCACTTACTCTGCTATTGTAAATATTGCATCACAACAATGTGATACTAAGTGATACTAACCTACTACAGGAAAAACAAATTGTTTGGTTGAGCTTAAAAGGGTAAATAGACCCAAACCCACACAATAATGCCTATACAGTATTTGTCTAATTGCAATACGTGCTTAATCCTGCTGATTCTTGTTTACAAATGCTGTTAAAGTAAAAAAAATGTAATTGTGTTTTTCACATTTTTCTGAAAACCTTAAAGTATGACTGATATGTAAGATGGCTGTTGTGCTGTGTGGCTAATGTTAGGCTTGTATTTAGTGTTATATTTCTTTTTTGTATTGGTTAAAAAAAGGCATCAAAATGAGCCATGAAACACAGACACTATCGGTCCACTTCTAAGACTGTTAATGAAACTAGTAAAGTATCCGGTGATAAAATGTGGTTCTTATTTAACACTCACAGCCGACCCAAGCCATGGTTCGCACATGGTAACAGACTCTAGCCAGAACCATTGTTCACTCCACACCGATTATAATCTTCTAAGGTTTTAGCTAACACGGAGTGAAGTGAACATACACTAAATACAATCAGCAGCTATGTGAACATCAACAACATAAATTCCCTCCTAAAACCTTAATGGTATTTGAATGTGTCTTGGTTACTTTCAACACATTGCTGTCAAACATCTGGAGCTCAGTAGTTCTCAGCCTGTGCCTCCTGGCCGGTTGCTGCTGACTTATAGATCTGTCAGTTTAAAGCAGCATATTCCTTGACAATCTGTACCCACGTGCCATTGTGCAAGATGAAGAAACACGTCATGAATTTCAATGTTACACATTCTCTCTGGATTATACCGTCATAGTATTCTCCTGCAACGCTCTCTTGGCAGGAACCTGCCAGCCAGAGACACTTATCGCAGCTCAGGTGATGACGTGCTTTTAAACTGTTATTCTAATATTGATTTGAACGTGTGACATTTTAATTAATATTGGGTGTTAGCTGTCAAATAAGCAGCCAATCTCATTGGTTAGAATGTGAGACAGGTGATGTTGTGCAGAGAAGATAATACTTCAGTTCTTACTGTGGAAGGGCTGTAAAAAAGAGACTCAACGTGTAGAAAAACTGTCAGTGACTACATGCAACACACTAATATCTGTTCTCACTGTGATTCTGTCAAGGTCTTTTCTGTGCCCGACAACACCAACCAATGAGACGCAGCGTGCGCCTTCCAGCTCCTACAGGTTGCAGGGAACGTGATGTTGTTGGCCGTCTGTGTTGCCAGTAGACATAGAGGAGCAGAGAGAGAGATGCGGTGAGTGGAGACACGACCAGAGGGGAAATTAGGTAACTTTGCAGCACTCCATTGAACAGCAATAAGCTTTCAGGGCTTAGCAAGCATAAACACATTAAACTGATGAGATTCATCAGCACTCTTGTGTCAAATCTCTGTAACCCAGAGCTGCAGTGGCAGCAAACTGTCGAGCAAGAGCAAGAGAAAACAGTACTGTACAGTGGCTTCTGGATGTTTCCTGGTGTAAACACACTGAGTCAGACTGTTTAACGTAAAGTTACTTTATTATTAACCTTTGAGATGACTTACATTGAAATAAAACAATAATGTTATTAGATATTTTACTAAATTACAAATAAGCTATAAACTGATTAATGGCAGATTATAGAATAATATAATGATAATAACAACAATGTATAATAATATATAATGTCTATACTCATTTTAAATGAATTCTGTATTCATTTCTAACTAACCATGGCTGAACCACGATGCCACCTTTAAACAGAGCCATATGAGGCAACGTTCATTTGCTGAGGTTTTTGTCATATTTGATTTTTAATTGGTGTAATCTTAAAACTTCCCAGCTTAAGGGGCTTATCCTGATAAAGTAATACTTTTAAATTGAAATATTTCCTCTCAAAGGTACGAAGGCCTTCAACTTTATTCTTCCATTTATCTGTTGTCTGCTTTTTTTATTTTTTTTTATTTTTTTCAAATCACGGGAGCCTTCTTCCTTTTAGATAGTTTCACCGGAGGCAACCAGATCAGCATGAAATTAGTTCTGTTTGAATCTTCACATGGTCCAATCAGATGAGCTGAGATTTAATCTTGGCTGGCCTGCCCTACCAGAGTCCGACCCCTCAGATGAAATGGACTACATATTCATAGGTTCACTTGCATGGTTGATTAGAACCGTGTAGATGGAAGGTACAGAATTTCTTCTCTTTATCTTTATTCCAATTTCTTTGTGTGCAAACAAAGAATCTGGATTAAATGTTGTCTAGTGATTGGTTAAAAATGTAAATAGACACATCGATGCACCTTTTTTTCCCTCATAAGTCCAACTGTTACTGTTAAGAATTCAAATTTGCTCTTATATTTTTCATCCCATTTTCAACATGTAAAACGCAGTAACTGCATAACTGAACAGCATAATATTTTGTAAGATGATAGTGTGTGTGTGTGTGTGTGTGTGTGCCCCTTTGGCTTAATTACTGGAAGAAATAATACCACGCCTTTGAATAATGGGAAATATTACCTGAGAAATTAATTATAATGATAGTATCTGTGGAAGTAGGCTTAAATGCCATCTTAAATTACATGCAGAAACTTTTAGCTCCTTTTATTATATAGGCTGGAATTACATGGATCTTTTTCAGGGTGTGCAATTCACACATGAATACATTATATTTAATGTTTTTCTCGTTCCGTGTTTTCTTTTCTTTTTTTCGCTCATTCACATTGTTCATGTTCATCACCAGTGGTCTGTCCTTTTTCCCTTCATACAGTAGTATTACAGAATATATAATCTGTAATTTTTTAAATGTAAATACAATGCAGTAATATACCAGTGGCTTTTACTGGTCTGTTTACCAATATACTGCACTTTTTAAATGCAAAAAACCTAATAGATTCTAACTGGAGACTTAATCCTTCAGTTCTATATGTATCCGATTGTTGTTGATGTCATTGTCATATTACCCTTTTCATTTATTAAATACACCGATTTAAGAAGTAATTCAGGGAATAAGTCAAGTTAACGTACATGCTAAAATTTTGTGTGCAATAACTGATTACACATTTTTAGCAGATTTTGTAGAAAAAAGTGATAAAGCCGTATCTAAAATGACACAGCCTTGGATTGACTGGTGATACTGAATAACAATGTTGTTGCCTTAAACAGACGGCTCTCCATTTGAATGGATCATTAATTGCCAGTGTTTTTGACCACAGTTAGATCACATTTCTAAATGTCCCTTTGTGTTATACAGTACCTGCATATTTGCAGGCTTTATTTTAAAATGATTTCACAATCCACACAATAGCAGTGAGGAACTACCAGTACGCTGAGTTCACAGGTAATTTCTAGCGTCAAGGCACAGGAGGAAGCAGGAAGCCTCACATAACAGAAATCTCCTGCTCCCCACGGAAAGAGAGAGAGTGCTGGTAAAAATGCCTTGTCTTCCTCATTACACTGCTGTCATTTACTCTTCATCCCCTGTACTCTTTAGTGGCATTAAGACGGGATGTAAATTTGACAGTTAACGCTGTTAGAAAATGGCTAGTTCAAGAAGGGCAGGAATTAGAGATGGGCATTAGGCGCTGATAAGCTCCTTTCCTCTGCCGTGGCGGCTGCTTAACATTCATAGGAAAGTCATCATCAAACAACGTTATCACAGCTCTGTTGACGGCTGAGGAACATCATCACTATGATAATTTTTTTATAGCTGTGAGCCAAAAAAGCACTCTTTTATTTCAGCGGTTTGTTAATGAGATAGGAGCTTGTTGGTATGGGCAAATGCAAACTTGCCACTCTCCAGCATTTGTTTGAGTCCCTCAGCTAGCCACCCCCCACTCGCACCCCCGCCCACCCTACCTCCGCTCCTGCACACACACGCACACCATCAAATGCCTCCCACCGCAACCCACTTCTCAACCCCCACATGCTGTTTAATGTTGGCGAGAGAGGGGAGATGAATTTTTATGCACTTCTTTCCAAGTGCTGTGTGTACATTGTTGAAGGAGGGCCTTCATGTGTACCTTTGCAGATCAGTCGCTCAAAGAGAGGAAAACATGCTTATATCAACAAACGCTCTCTCTAACAGCCCTGTAGCTGGCACCTGTCACTCACCTGGGATTTAGCCATAGATCTGAATAGGAGGAGAAAGCTGGTTATTAAAACTGGATAAACTCCTCACCAGCAGCCTGCCATTAACCCTGCTTTTATTGTTAAAAAGGCCACTTCAATGCTTTCATGTGTCTTAATGGTTGGCCTTGTTTATTTACATTTATTAATGGGGCTCTTGGCCCCAGAGGTTTCTTGCGCTCCGTGACGGCCGTATCACTGCTCCTGCTGCTACAGCTAAGCAGCTTTCCTATGAATCACAATGCAAATTGTGAACGACAGATAACGAAATCTGATTTTGGCTTTGCTGCCCTCTGTGGAGGGGTTTAGTTTTTGGAAATCCTCCAAACAATCCAAACAATTTCTAGCATTTTCTAATTACTTTTAAAAGTTTTTACCCAATAGTTAAGGAAATGTTTCCTCATAGTGCTGAGGTGCTCACATCGCTATATTGGTAGCACGGTTAGGAACATCTCTTACAACAAAACCAATCTTTACATGTGTTTCTTCAACAGCATTGACAGTACAGTTTTCATCTGACTGCTCACCTCCCACTGGTTAAATTCGCCAAACACATAAAAGCGTTTCCATCCAATGGAACTGCTGCCACACATTATTTAAAAAGAGAAGACATGTCGTCTTATTTATTTATTCATTTATGATGTATATATCAGAGATGGCACTTTTTGTCACATCAATTCCTACGCCACACGGCGTTCTGTTGAAACCAGGTACGCACAGCAGCACTCTGCCTGTCTCAACACTGCACTGAGGTTCTCCTTAATTGTCATGGCAGTTGCAAAAAGCAGCAGAAGTCTGCACGTTCTGTCATGGTTCTCTATGAGAACAAGAATCCTCCGTGAAAATCCGCCGAGTGCATAAAAATTCTGGGCTGTCAGATACTGTGGAGGCACACAGGAGTATTTGAGAGCTTTTGACACAGTGTGAGGTGGTTATTGTAAGTCATTTTTATGGTAACTTAGCTCATTAAAGCAAATACAAAGCAAGAACAGTCTTTAGAATTATAAAAACGTCTTGTCATGAAGTGGTGGGAATTTTATGACCTATTTTTTCCCTAATACTTAGTATAATAAATATGTTCACACTGTCGGTGATCTGCTCTTTATAAAATTGATATTATAATGTCATAATTAATACATGCGGGGAAAAAATCCCTTTTTATTGGATTTATATGGTTTTGATTTATTAGGCTTTCTTTGTGGACAGCAGTCATTTGTTTATTTCAATAGCAGACCATCACTTTGTGAATGGCTCTGAATTTAGATGTTGTTTGAATTCCATCACAGGTTGAATCTTTTAACTGCCGAAAGAATACAGGATTTATTTATTCCTCCTTTCCATCCTTGATCCTCAGCACATCCTTAAATGTTTATTCTAAATGTGAAATAATTCTCTGTTTCACAGAACATTTAAAACCTTGCCGGAGTATTTTGGGTCCTCGGCTCTGCAGTTTCTAAAATCCTCATAACTAAGCCTTAGTGTGGCTTTCCTTATGTATGATAATGAAATGTAATTCTGCCCTTCACTGACACTCCGGCTGCTCTTATATTCCAGTACAATATTCCCTATTCTGCCTCAGCGTCTATATTTTGACACCATTACTTAATCACATTGTCAAAATCCCCATTTCCTCTCATCAATCCCTCATTCAGATGTATTTGTGATCCTCTTTCTTCTGCCCTCACTGATTTTATTCAGCCTTCATATCACGTTGGTGTTTGTTATTTCCGAGGTTGACTGGATTAGCGCCACTGAAATAGCTGTTACTCTGATTTTTAGGTTATCTACCAAATTCATTAGAGGGAAATGGGCCCATTTTCACAATGGTCTGCTGTGTTTCATCCTGTGGCTGCAGAGGCTTACTGGGCTAATAGTAGCACGTAATCTGCAACCTTTTTTTTTCCAAATATTCTATTTATGGTTATTGTGTTATAGAAATAATTACTAATGTTGGATAAAGGCTATGGTAAAAGTGTAAACCCACCACTGACCCCTTTATCACAATTACAGTGTCACATTACTGTTAATAGGCAACATCTGCTGCACTTCACGTAATTTCTAATGCATTCATTTGTAATTAGTGTTTTAATGAAATTGATACTGCAGTACTGGTTATTAGTGTACAGTTTCCACAGAAACAAATAAATAAATA